CCACAGTCCCCTCCCGCCAGGCCTCCCGAGTCCCCCTCAGGGCTTAGGGGTAGAAGGCTGATAGTGACGAGTCCCCCCATCCCGCCCTCACCCTCCAGGCCACCCCTGGGCTTCCCCTCGCTGCCTGCTTGGCACCGACGGCCCTGGGCCCTGGCCTCAGGCAGCTCCCTGGGTGTCCACGCTGGCCCCCCGCTGCGCCGCCCCAACCCCTCCTCCCAAATGCCTGTCTGCTCCGGTCTGTGCCCACTCCAGAATTTTCCATCCCAGACTGGGGTTTTCTCCATGGTTCCTTGTGAGGCAGAGCAAGCATCCAGACGGCTCCGAGACCCGGGGTCACAGGCAGGCCCCCGCGCCCGAGTCAGAGGGCGGAGGGAAACCCGGGGTGCCGCGGCCTTTCCGGGGAGGCAGGTCGCCCTGCGAGGCTCAGGCAGCCACGGCTCCCGCCCCTCCAGCCTCCAGAGGCTCCGGCATCCGCCTCCTCCAGCTCTCTGACTCGGTCTCCTGCCTCCCTCCGACAGGGACCCTGCGCTGGCGTTCCGCCATGGAAGTGCTGGGCGTCAGGGCACGGATGTTCTGGGGCCATCACAGGGCCGGGTGTGTCCAGGCTGCCCACTTGGCGGGGACCCCTTTCGCTTCCCGCAGCTTGCCCTCCGAGGCCCGACACCCACCTCCTTCATGAGGGGCTGGGTCTCCTGTCCTCGCCCTCGGCGTCCAGGACAGCGTCCAACACAGACGAGGCTGCTCACTGAGCGAGCTGGTGACCACCTGTGCCCGAAGCCTGGGCTGCCATCCCCTGTCTCCCGCGCCATTCAGGGCAGAACTCGGGGCCCAGGGGTCCTTCTGGGTCCTCCACTGACATTCCCTCAGGCCCCTACTGACGCCATCCCCGCTGAGACCGGCGAGGCAGAGGCCTGGAGGGCCGGGACACCAGGCTGGTCCGCTCCCAGCCCTTCCTCCGCAGACCCCGGCCACTCCACCTTGTGCGGCAGAGGGCGCTGCAGCCGCGGCCAGAGGCAGCACGACCCCCACCCTCTGCAGGTCTGGCCTGGGGGTTCTGAGTGGACCAGGGCGGGTGCACCCAGGGACCCAGGCCTGGAGCTCCCCGGGTCAGTAGGGGCAGGGGCTGTATCTGGGGAGCTGGGGGCCTAGGGCCCTCCCTGAGCCTGGGCAGCTGCAGGTCCTTGCTGATGCATCAGAGCGGGGCTGGGGAGGCTGGCAAAGCCCCCCATAGCCAGGGCCTGGCCAAGCGTCACCAGACCCTGGAGTCTCAGGGCGGCCCCCATGAGGCCTGGGACAGAGGTCCCTACACTGTTTGGATGCTCGGGGCTGAGTATGGCCAGGTGCACCTCACCCCAGGGTGGGGGTCACCGGGGCTGTGGGGTCACCTGGGGTGTGGGGTCACCGGGGCTGTGGGGTCACCTGGGGCGTGGGGTCACCTGGGGCGTGGGGTCACCTGGAGTGTGGGGTCACCTGGGGCTGTGGGTCACCTGGGCTGTGGGTCACCTGGGGCGTGGGGTCACCTGGGCTGTGGGGTCACCTGGGGCGTGGGGTCACCGGGGCTGTGGGTCACCGGGGCTGTGGGGTCACCGGGGCTGTGGGTCACCTGGGGCTGTGGGTCACCTGGGGCTGTGGGGTC